AAAATTGAATACATAGGTTGATGATTTCTTTATTTTCCCTGCCCATCCTTTACAGGACGATAACGATAACGGTATCATATCTAGCACGCTCTTATCGCACCCCTTTCCACATCGATTTGCTGAACTTGAGTGAATTGCGGCTCTTTATCACTTCATTGATAAGGGGCCACTGCCACTGAAACTTTACGTGTTCTAACATTGGGCAGGACCTCTATCCACTCTAATACATAGCTTTCCTTATCGTTGCCTTGAAAATTATCGTGACTGCTTCCTTTGAAGCTCGGTGCGCAATGTGTTAAACTATGTTGACACCATCAAATTGCTAGCGGTATACGTGTCTACCAACGGCAGTCAAAGGTTTAACCAGGAAGGTCTTTCAGGACATGGAGCCCTTTTCGAAAACGGTTTTTTGCATGATAAAGGGGCGTATGCATGGAGTACAAAACTAGGCTCCATTTTTTCTGACCGGCCCTCTGAATGCCAAAAAAGGAGTGAAAAAAATGTCTTGAGAAATCGAAGTTTTCTCACCTTCAACGTGGTTTATATCACTCGTTATGTTAAGTGGACGCATAATGAAGGCTTTCTTCACCTAAACGTTGAAAACAGAAAAGAACCAATACCAAAAATGGCGCAATATGGCTCGGGGGGGGGGGCAGTCGTCGTGTGCGGCTCAGCGATGCTGTGTAATTCGAACATTCCAGCTTCTCACGGAACAATCCAGCTTCTCACGCATGTCAAGTGACTGCCCTCACCCCCAACCCCCCTGAATTGGCTACCTTGCCCAATTGGCTACCCTGGCTCACGAATTTCCTGTTGCCGCAACGCCGCGCGCGGCGACTTCCTCCCTCCCCCCCCCGAGCCACATTGCGCCCCAAAAATTGTATATAATAAGTGCTCACAAATGATGATCTTGATCAGATTCGTTGACATTTCTCCTTTAGCGGTGGTCGCATAGTCGAGTGGATAGCGTGATGGGCGCTGGTTTTCTCGAAGTTGTTGGTTCGGTCCCCCTCCATGCCCGGATTTTTGCATTTTTTTCCGATTATCACTTTTTTTGCATTTGCATGTGCTTGCGCGTGAACTTAAAGCCTGTAGGTGTCATTTCCAAGAACTTTCTCCCACAATTCTGCGATATTTCGTAGTACCATGTTTTTTTCAGTTGTGTACGAAATTCTGTTTACAAGCAATAAATAACTAGCAGTTATGGTAAAACTCAACGAAGCATCTGAAACACAGACGCCGATCACACCAACTGCATCTAACGAACGCCAGAAAAGTGAAGTTGTCATTTTCTTCGCAAGGAACACCTACTCCATTTCCCTTGAACCGGCGTTGAGGGATGTCCAGGATGCTTGTCGACGTTGGTAGTGCCCACCCAGGCATACGCCATGCATCGACGAGATCAAAGGGGTGATGCCAGATTGCCCCACGAACAGGAACTGCTGTGGAAGTGTAACCATCAGCCGAACGTGCCGCTTGCTATCATCTCGAAGCTGTCTCCAAGTGGGAAGCGTGCATGCCGTACTGACTATGGGCTTACCCATGGCCAAATTTTTGAATTCAGGCCGAAATCTTGATCTTCTCTAAAACTGCGGTATAAGGGTAATTATAGGCGCTGATTACGAATCTGACGTCCATTTTTGAGGGAGGCGCGATATTGCGCCACTTTACCCTCCTCGGGCACCAACTCGGCGCCGCTTTAGCGCCATATATTTTCGCCCCAATTGTGGGCAGAAAGCTAATCAGAAAGGTTGATGAAGACCCTGATTGTGAGAACAGGACCTTTTTTTTATCAGCGGTAACATTTGGAGTCATTTAACATGTGCTAACATGAAATGCAAAATTTCGTCATCAGTCGGGACCGATCCCTCCACCGATTTTTCACACCTTTTTTGGCACAAGGAGGGCCGCTCAGAAAAAATTGAGCTTGTTTTTGTACTCCCTGCATGTGCCCCTTTATCATGCAGAAAACCGTTTTCAAAAAGGGCTCCATGTCTTGAAAGACCTTCCCGGTAGGGTGTGCCACTATTCAAGCAGTTTTACTGGACAACGGCCTACTTTTCGTTAGCAGGGAATCAGAAGTTCTAATCAAAGGACCATCGCATTACTTTTCTTGAACACTCGATAGTTTTAATAACGGGCAGACTGGAAAGGCACCTCAGTATGGTGGATGCGCCTTGAATATCAAAAGCAGTCATCAAAGTTGGCTGCCCTAGGCTCTGCCGATCTGTTATAAACATTATGAATATATTGTAATGATGCAAGTTGAGGCGCATGATCTTTGGTAATTGAAATATTCAGAACGTCTACGAAAACGATATTAACAAGGGATGCTTCGAAATTCCCATCGAACTTTGGAGGAAGACTCATGACCCCGAGTATATTGTAGGCTGATTACACGGATTACGCTGTAAGAACACGTATCGAAACGTCTTAACTGAAGGCAAATAGCAATGAAGAAAAATCTGGTTGGCTCCCTCAACAACGTTCTCCTTTGGCCATTCTTGTAATTAGAAAAAAGGTTTGAGAAGTAAGAAGATTCAATGCACTTGTGCATGTTGACTTTCTCAACACACTAAAAAACAAAGTCAAGTCCCATAACGCATCGATTTCTCATCATCTGTACAAATTTTATAAGAAAAGCAACATCAAAAACAATAACATTTTATCGTCTTCGGTGACCCGAAGAAAGCAATAACAATAAACCCTTCTTAGATCATTTTCCGCAGTAGTTTGTTGATCTGGTCTTCACGGTTGCCGAAATCTCCTCCTTCAACGAAGTGATTCGTCTTCTTTGTCCATCCACCAGTGGGGTTGTTGAGTTTGAAAGGCCAGAGGAAGTTGGATGCTGCCTTGAAGTTAGGTCCAACATTGTAGATTTCGTGAACCAGATCCTCCATACAGATAATGTCGTGTTTGCCTGAAACATAGACTAAAGTAATTGAAGATTTACAATTTTGGCCGGATTGACTCAACTAATGCAAAAGTGACGCTTAAAATAAGACAAAATAAATAAAAAGCACAAGAACAGAACTACGGCCGGGATATTGTTGTATGAATAAAAGAATAAAACAAAGAAAAACAATGCAATACATGACGAACTAACCGAGAGCCTCCTCAATGATGCTGTTATCAGTGATAGGGACTCGTCGCTTGTCAACCTTGGCAAATCCACGTTTGTATATTAAATCATGTACAGTCTTCAAATTTGGATATCCCCACGCAACGTAGGGCTCGACAATGCGAAGAAGTGGCAGTGTAGCCTTGTTCAACTTTACAAACACTCCATTGTTGATCTGTCGGAGACGAAGGATTTGAAGAGCCTAAAATCTTGCAAGTAATTCAGCAACGTCGTGAGATGTGTTGTTGGGCTACAAAACATTAATGACAGTGATACGCCAGTCATTTTTACGGTAGCTAACTTCATTTTTGCACGATAATAAATGAAATAGTCAATGAGCGACCATTTCAAGAGTGTTCGTGCATTAAAGAAGCCACGCTCAAGACATTTCAATAGATCGAAGAAATGGTCAAAATATCAACGAAGTAGGGAAAGCAATGCTAGTACAGGTTCATGTGACCAACAAATAGCAGTATAGAGATCTAAAGAGAGTAGAATCAAGCTGATATGGAGAAAAACAATACCTTGCGTGGACGTGGATGAATCTGATTGATACCACGAATTCGGACGACAAAGGCAAGCTTGGGTTGGTCGGGTACGTAGAAATCGCCGTTCTTCTCAGCGTCACGCTTGAGGCGGAGCTGGTCCCTTTGAGCTTGACGGTACTCAGCGACATACTTCTCGGCTCTTTTGAAGATCTTTGCCTTCTTTTCCTTGTTCTTCTGTAAACAGCACTGATGACATGAGCAAGGTTGCAAAAGCGAAAGACTGAAAACCAAGATAAGTGGCTTTTATTATTCATCATTAGAAGGCTTCTAGTCAAAACACTCGAGAAGTACTCATTGAGTGAGCGCCGAATGCTTTACAAACAAAAGGAAATGAACTTGAAGTGAAAAGGAGGCGACTTATATCTATATGAAAAACAGCTCGAAACGTGATCAAACTTGAGTGAGACCACTCACCGCAGCAAGTTTGACCTTGTTCTGCAGAATCTTCGCTCTAATTTCGGCCCTCAACTTTCTCCTTTTCAAAACAGTCTCAGGGACCTGTGGAAGCTTCTTCCTAAATTAAAAATGATAAGAAAGACGTCAAAATTGAATAAAAAAAATTGAAGTAAGCATAATTAACTGAAGTAAAGTAGTTAGAATAAACTTACGCGACCATGGTTTAGTCGTGTTATACCCTGAAATGAAGCACTGATGAGTTATTGACTTAATGGTCACAATTATAGCATAACAAGCGTAGAAAATGAGATAACCCTTAAAACAAAGACGGCAGTATCGTGAATACCGAGCGGAAACTGTCCAAAAACGGCTTTTAGCTATAATGAATAGGTCAACATATCCGAAAAATTGCAAGTGGTTTACAGTGGCAGTAAGCCAAAAGAACGAAAGACTATTGGGCGTCGCCTCTAATTGGGCATGACCCAAATGAAGAAAACTTGAGTATTCCTTTGACATAAGGCTTGCTAAAGAATAACACTAATCCAAAGCAAAAAGAAACTACAAATCCCGTTTTAGGCCATGTTTTAGAAATGCATCAATTGAAGAATGGTCGTAGTGCGGTTGTCTGCCGTGTTTTCAGGCAAATCGTTGCAAGACCTGCAGCGAAGCGTTGCGGTTGGCGTCGCGATGGAACCCCGATTGACGTGGATGGCGGTGCCGGCAGGGTCGTGTTCCTATTTGTCACCTGTCTGTGGGAGGATCCCGTATGACGATGTTTTCCCATGTCCGATTCACTTCTCTTTCGATTTATCATGCTGTTTGAACAATCCTGCTTCAATTGATGCCCCAAAGTGGATGGGAGCAATTCTCGATCTGCCCGATTCTGATGCTAATCAACGATTCATTGTTCCATTTTCAGCCGCACGCAACATACAATGGGCTCTCGTGATGATGAGTACGACTACCTATTCAAGGGTGAGTCACTTTTATGTCAACTTAAGAAGATAAAGTGGATTTGAGGAGTGGTTGTAAAGGGTTAACTCTGTCTCATGTGTCACCGTCAGGTCAGCCGGTTGTTACAGCCACCCTCACATCGGTAGCGTTTCCCACCCCTGACTTCCATCATGTGTTTTGTGGAGTGTTGCTCCCTGAGTGACTGCACTAGGCAAAATCGAATTAGCGAAGTGAACTGCCATTCTGTCGGCTGGCTATTTAATGTGTTTGAATGTGTTCTTGAAGAGCGATTAATATTTTCACGAGGTCATTGGTGGCATTGCGAAACGATATTTTGTTGAAGCGTTGAAGATTTGCGCCCATCGCGGCTCTGACCGCTTTTCGCATCCAGTTCAGGATGCTATTTCGTGTCGCCCTCGTCGTGCTGTGAGTCACTGCACGCCGACGTACACAGCGAAGGAGAGCGAGAGAGAGAGAGATGGCTGGATAGTATGTGAACTGAATACAATGGGACTAACACGGGTTGCGCGATATTGATCGCTGATCGTAAAGATTCGTTGAACGCCGAAATTGAACTGTGTCGAGTTGTTGTGCCCTTAACACATTGACGATAAAGCGAGTTTTGGCTTTTTTGGCCACTTGGGACCGAGGCGATTTTGCGGGCGCGGCCGCCTCAGGCTGTTCAAGCAGATTTTGAATGCTAAATACGTAAATAATGATCAATACAAAACCAGATCAGTAAATTGCAGAGAGTACAACCTACTCAGGGGTACAGTAGTGGAATTTCGATAGAATGGCGTGGAATTACAATGAAAAAGTGAAAATTTTCATAACTAGCAGCAATGGACCTCAAAAGCTATTTTGTGTTGATTATTTCAATCAAAACACACATATCGCCATCAATAAGGTTCCGTATCAACTTCTACTACTATTTAAATCTTCACATTCATCAAAAGAAAAAGTAAACGAAAAGTTTTCTAAACTGAAGATTTCGAATGTTTCACAAATACTCCTCTAAATCAGAGCATACGTAACCATTCTATGTCCTACTATGTTTGCAGCACATCAAGTTCTCTTCCAAGGAATAAATACAAGAAACTTCTAAAAGGCTTCTAGGCGTGCGCGAAAAAAAATAAGTGAAAGGGGGGTGCGGGGATATATATCCCGCACGGTCCGACATGGCTTGCAATGCGCGAATATATATCCCCCGCGTTGTCGTCAATGTGTTAAAAGGTGTTGGTTATAAATTCGCGGAAATGCATTGTCTGTGTGGGCAAGATATACGATCACGTAAAAGTGATGAATGTGCCGTTTTGATTAGTCCGAACATCCGATGGATCAGGGGGGAATGAAGCGCTTCTTTTTCATGGGTCTGTGCTCAGTGGAGCTCCTCCGAATCCAAAGGATCGTACTGAAATGGTCGAAACACCCAGAACTGTCCTGGCTATACGGATAAGTGTATAGAAGCACAACATCCATAGATATGAGCGCGTGGTCCTAATTTCTTGGAACTAAGAGAAACAGAAACACTCGTGATGCTCGGCGCTCGATCGACAGTCAGCGGAATCAGACTGTTTCACAGACCTTGGCTGGATATTGCAGCGAACAGTTATTGGAATGGAAATCAAATTATTATGCTTTGTCAAAATGCTATTAAGTTGGCCATGCTGGTATGGATATTCATTTTCTTATGACTTTCTTATCCATTTTGAGTACAGGATATGAATGTTTTTGTGTATATCTTGACAAAAAAACGAGAAGAGCGTCGGGTGCAGACCATATACAACAAGTGACGACAGCCTCTACAAAATGTAATTGTTTTCTGCAAATGAAGTGGTAGCCTGTTGCAGTTGTATTCCAACAGTTGTCACTACTTACAACTGTCATTTACCAAAAATCAGTTGTCATCATGAACCACTACTAGTCAGATTATTCGAACACCGTCGTCACTTGTGGTTTATGGTCTGCACCCGCCTTCTTGTTTTTGAAAGGGAGTTTATGTTGATTGAAGAAAATCGTATGGAACTTCTTAAACAATTCTACTTCAAAGTGCTGTCACAAGTGCGGATTCTGTTGCGTGGGGTCCTCAGACGCGCTTACACTAGCGGCACGAGTTGAGTTCGGTTTAGGTGAATTCCACAATGTTCTTTGCTTGTGTACAATAGAAGCAGACTGCAGTTTGGCTCCTAGGACATTTGAACGGAATGTATGCCGTCACAGTGTTATTTGAACCGGTTCCAGTAGAATCAGTTGTTGTTGCTGCAGTAATGGCAAATGATAATCGCTTTCGTCGTTCCCGTTTCGGTTCGCACCGCTACGAAATTCTTGTCGATTGAGGTGGCGGGTAAAGTTGTCCAGTTTTGGTTATCTTGCACAGGGGTAAACGGCCTTGTACTTCTCTCGTTTCATGCTTCAAGAACTAAAGTGTTTAAGATGCACGAATAGGTGCAGTCGGTGAACCCATTTATCAGGTCTGAAAAATTCAGGCAGTAAAGGAGGGGTTTTTTTTAGCAACCAGCGGTTTCGTGATGGGGTGTGTTGAGTAACAGTCAGGCTTCAAAAGCGGAAGCTGTTTTTGGGGGTCATCGTTGTCGTGAATAAATGCTCTGCTATTCACAAATCGAAGCTCTGAAGCGTATGGAGCTTGTGAGAAGTTCCAGGGCTCCGTGACTTTTTTCATACTTGAAGGCGTGGTCACGGCGGAAGTGGACGAGTCTGTAGTGCTCCAGTGTTGCGGGCCGCTGCAGAGAGGCGTGTTCAAGGGGCGCGCAAACTGTGCGGAACCGCGATTGACTCGTCCGCGCTCGCCGTAGCCATGTCTTCAGTTGTGAAAAAAGCCACGGAGCTCAATTTAAAATGCTTTTTTGTGATTGGCAGGCAGCACCTATCAAGATAGAGGAGACATATTCATATTTACACAGCTTTAGGTAGTGAAGCTTGTTAACACTCATAACGGTTTAAAAAAGAAAGGTTGCATCCAAATTGGTATGCATTTTCAATACGGTTTCCATCGTCGGGTAGTTGACTGATTATGAAAGTGATGCATGCATTCATTATGTCATAGACGATGTATCAGCTGAATTTTCCGATGTTCACGTGAAAAATTGTTTCAGTTGTGCTGATCGGCGATTCTGGAGTAGGGAAATCGAATCTGTTGTCACGGTTCACCCGCAATGAATTTAACCTCGAGTCGAAGTCTACTATAGGTGTCGAATTCGCTACTCGTAGTATTCAGGTAATTTTTCTTTTTGTAATTTTTCTGCTAATGGGAAGTCCTATGACGCTATAAAGCAAAAGCATAAAGCATTTGCCGTTGATCAATCCCTTTTTGGGATGCGACATGCATACTTTCATTTGTACATTCGCAGTGGCTTTTGAATGCGATGTGGCCCATACAATGGCTTTCGGGGGCCAGCCACAAGTCAGTGTTTTTATCCTCCCAGATTAAAACACTGTTACCAATTAACCGACCCCGGAGGGATGGAAGGCTTGGTTGGCCCGGGACTCACGACCCAGGACTTGATCCCCGGACCGCTCACGTTTTGAACGCGCCACTTGCCACTGCACCACTTCCGCCCTTTGACGCTATACCAAGATGAATCCTTATCATTATAATCAGTAGTTTTCAGGTTGAAGGTAAGACTGTGAAAGCTCAGATTTGGGATACTGCCGGTCAGGAACGATACAGAGCAATCACGTCTGCGTACTATCGTGGAGCCGTTGGAGCGCTTCTAGTTTATGACATAGGTATGTTTTATATATTTGTGTATTAGGTTGTCGCAATATAAATGTCATTTGCGGGTGCAAACAAAATTTGTTGGAACAGGAGCATTGCAGCTCCTGGGAACAAGAGATGGTACTGTCTCATTGTGTCAGGCCTTGTCATTCTTTACGCATAAGCTCATCGCTCTTCTCGAAGTATTGCAGCAAGTACGCTGGCAAACATGGACTCTCAGGATTGAATTTTTTGTCGTCTCTGGATCTTTTCTTCTTCACAACTTCTGTGTAAGCTCTGCTAAGCAGCACTCTGATGGAGTGTGACAGAAACTGCTCAGCTGAGGAGCGAAACGTCTATACTTCAATCTCGCTCTTCTTTGCTGGGTGATTTTTTCGTGATAAGCACCTCGTCCGTCGTGTAGCCCGGTTATTTAGTCGTTAAATTTCTTGTTTACCGAGTCATTTCACGATATGATGGAGCTGTCCTTTTCTTTGCGAAAGCCTAATATAACTGTGTTGGGTTAAAATGTCGTAAGACATCCACGTGCTCACTCATGAACTCCGTCCCTCCTCCTCTCCGATCGCTACCCTCGCCATAAGGCTTTTTCTATAGTACTTGATTCTAAGAGCAGTCGACTTTTGAAACTCGAACTCCGCTCTCCCACTTTCTCTCCGAAACGGTCGTCGAGCGGGTAGGGCGGGGGGGGGGTGGTTGGGGTAAATTGGGATGCATTGGTATAATGAAGCGCTCGCGCTTTTCCCCGACGCACCTTGTCAACTTCAAATGCTTCTCCCCAAAATCACAATTCGGCCCTCTGTTCTAGTAGCGCGAACGGATGGTTGGTCGTGGTCGTTTCAAGTCTACCCACAATAGCGGGTGCCGACTCGGCCGCGCCCATCGTGGCCACGCTACATAGAGTGAATAAAGACACACAGCCCTTCTATACCCTTAGATGTCCTCTTCAAATGAATACAAAAGCACCTTGGAGATTCAGGAGCTGGCCAGTGTAATGAAAGGGAATCTGTGCGACATCTATGTTGCAGCAACCTAATACCCTGAGCTCTTCATGGTCAAAGCCATTAAATCTTCCAAAAAGGGAAGAAGAGAAGCGTCATTTTCTGCGAAAAATAAACAATTGTCAAACATGTCACTTGGGACATCATCGATGCGGAATGTTTTGTGTATTACTCCTCTTCATTTTGTTTAGTTTCGTTAACGTTGCATTACAGCAAAGCATGTGACATATGAGAACGTTGAGCGCTGGCTCAAAGAACTTCGCGATCATGCTGATCAAAACATAGTGATTATGTTGGTTGGAAACAAGAGCGACCTTCGCCATCTAAGAGCTGTTCCTACCGATGAAGCGAAGATGTACGCGGAAAAGAATCAGCTGTCTTTCATTGGTTGGTTTTTTTTGAACAGTTGAGTTGAAATAATGTAGCGGAAACAGCCAGTGATGGGTGTCGCAACACTTCTTGCTATGTCGCAAATATCCTTATTCCTTCAAAATGGTGGAGAGTAGTTTTACCTAAATTTGAATCAATCGGAATCATCTTACTGAAACTTTCTTTGAGTGCATTACGTTAAGCTAGCCAAGACTGAATAAAGAAAGGTGGAAGAAGTGCTCTTTTCTGTTGCACAAGTACGTTTAATTACGAACTCTTTTCAAATCACAGAAGTTCATTTTCATCATGTAAACGATGCTGTTGAAGGTTTCAATGTATAGTGAAATTTGATTTTTTGATCGTTCTCTGGACGAAGGAACGCTTTCTGAAAGAGCATGTCCGATATACATACCAAAATCTATTTCTTTCAGAAACATCTGCCCTCGATAGTACAAACGTAGAGGCGGCGTTTACAAACATCCTCACGGAAATTTACAAGAGTGTATCGAACAAGCACGTGGGATCTGATCGCATGGTCCCATTACCGTCATCTGGCGTCGACATCACTTCATCATCCAATGAAAGTCAGAAGAAGCAGTGCTGTTCATCGTGATGAATGCAAATCTCTCTCCCTGTGGCCTTTAGGCTCTGTGTTGAAATGAACCTGCGCGCAACCATACAATCGCTTTTAAGTTTGCCTCATTATATATCGCTGTCTTGAACCTTATTGAACTTTCTTTTTTGTAAATCAATTTACACAGGGCCCTTTGTTTGGTGTTCGAGTGGACGGGAACCAGCAGTTCGTGCATATTACTGTAGTTTTCTTTTCTTCGTCTTAAATCCTTTTTACAAGTGCTTCTGTGTTCTTTTTAGGCGAATCGCTTTTTGCGAACTGCTTTGTCTCTTCATCTTCGGTTTGTGGTTCTCAGTCATTGTATAATCGGCTACTGACCTAACGATGACCACCATGTGTGCTCTGAAAATGAGCAAGCCATCGCAGTGGCACTTCGTACATTTCCACTCTTTTAAGCTGTTTCAACGTAAATGATTTTTTGTTCTTTTAATTCTAAGGGACGTACATGTGATAAATTGTGCTCATTGGTGTCAGCCAGCAGTCGAATCGTACGTCTCTGAATTATTTATTACACGTAATGGAATGCCCCGTTTGATAATTAATGATAAATATTATTCTGAAAGCTGTCCCGATGTAGCTGCGGTGGTTTTCATTCCGCAAGTGGCAGATGGAGTCAACGCGCTTTCGATTCCAAATGGGTCTCACCATTTTTGGAGTAAAACGATGGCGATCGTAAAAAGACAGGGAATTGCGAAGTCCACAGTTGGAGGTCACACACTGCGTAAAGTTAACGGAAAGGGTGCAATCTAGAGGGTTGAAGAGAAGTTCAGCTGTCAGAGGCAGGGTCAACCCTGCGTAGCGCAAATTCCAAAATTTTTACGACCCCCTTCCTTTCGGAGGGTATCGGTACGACCAACGCATTAGCTATTATGTCTTTCACATAAATTAATGCTTGCTCATCATTGATGTGTGGGCAGCAGGGTGAATATCGATCGAATGAAAATATCTGAAAAAAAACATGATATTAAATTTCCTTTGTAGGTCCAGTTGCTCCATTCCCACCTTCATAAGAAGGGCGTATTTGAGGGCAGTTCAAAGAATGTAAGTGCATCCCCGCAAAGAAGACTGCCACATGTGCGCACGCGCTACAAGGCACCTCCTCTGCCTATCGCTCGCTCCTCCCTTAATACCTCGCTGAGAATGACACTGTTGTTAGGAACCCTGTTGCTGTAGGCAGGGATAGCCGAGTGGTTAAGAGGTTAGACTTATGTCTGCATCTCTGAAAAACCGCGAGTTCGATCCCTGCTGAGGTTCGAAACCATGCCCTGCAAAAATTGCAAAAATGGTTCTAGTTTCAGCGTCAGGCCCAGGTTGACAGGCCGGTTGATGAATACCCCAGTCACACCAACGATGTCTAGAAGTTGCCAAGGAATTAGTGATAAAGCTAGGACGTCACCCGGAAGTGGCGCGCAGAACCCCCGCCCGTGTTCTGTGGTCAGTATGCGAGGGCTACCGAGGAGGGAACGGCCTTGGCCAAAGAAGCTAGTTCGAATTGGAACTGTGAACGTAGGGTCGCTAACTGGAAGGTCCCGAAAGGTTGCTGATCTGATGACGCGCAGAAAAATTCAAGTCCTATGCCTTCAAGAGACGCGATGGAAAGGGGCCAAGGCCAGGGAAATCGGAGAAGGTGTCAAACTCTACTACAATGATGAAGACACCAAGCGGAATGGTCTGGCCATAGCGGTAGCGGAGTCGCTCAAGGACTATGTCTCCGCTGTGAACAGGATCAGCGATCGGATCATGGCTCTAAGGATAGACACTAAGGAGGGGTATCACCTGTATCACCTGTTGTCCGGTTGATCATCGAATCTGCTCGAGCGGGCGCCAGCAACGTCTCCATTCGTCCCTGTCGCGTGCAAGAGTTGTCCAGGGACCCTCCTCGCTCGGAGGACACGGTGTTCTTCATTCCTTTCGTTCAGAGCTTTCGTGAAGAAGTCTGACCATCGGCCGGCGTCGTCCGGGGTCTTCGTTTGACGTCCGCAGGGATCCAGTCGGTAACCGCTCTTGGTCCAACGGTCATCGCAAAATCGCATGACGTGTCCGGCCACCTTATCTTCGATTCCTTGGCGAAAACGGCAGCGTCCCTGATCTTCGATCGTTGGCCGTAGTTCGGCACTCCGGATTCCCTCTGCACTTGCGTGTACAGGGTTACTCCTAGCATCGTCCTCTCGACAGCGCGTTGGATAACGCTGATCGCATGCTCGTCCTGCCTGCGCAGAGTCCAAGTCTCTGAGGCGTAGGTATAGGGCAGGAAGGACAGCGGAATCGAAGAGGTGGGCACGGAGCCGGATGTTCTTCGTCTTCTTCCTACTCCTCGATTGTCTTATACGCCCCCAGCCGCTCCGTTTCCTCCTGCTCAGCTCTGGAGCTAGATCGTTCATCATATTGATTTCCCGAACCTAAGGTACACGTAGCTGGAGCATTTCGGTGATGTTCGTTCCGTTGAGGCGTGAATGGGGCATCAGGAACCAATCCGTTTCTCATAAACATCGTCTTCGTTAGGTTCAGCTGTAGACCAACCTTACCACAGCGCAGTCGAAATCAGCCAGCATTCGCTCCGCTTGCTTCGATGTTCGGCGTTATAAGAACGATGTCGTCAGCAAAACGAAGGTGGTGTAGTGCCGGCCGTCGACCTTCACTCCCATGTCTTCCCATTCCAGGTTGAGCGATGACGTTCTCTGAGAGTGGCGCGTGAAGAGTTTGGGCGAGATGTGTCGCCCTGTCGAACCCCTCTCTTGACGGCGATGATGACCTCCTTGTAGAAGGGCGAGATCCTGGTCGTAAAGTTGCTGTAGAGCTCACGAAGAATCTTGAGTGTACTGAGTAGGGACGCCCTGTTTCCCAGGCTTCGATGACCGCTTCTGTCTCCACAGAGTCGAAGGCCTTCTTAAGTCGATGAACGTGAGAAAAGCGGCATCTTGTACTCTCGTGAAACTTCAATGAGTCATGTAACCGTGTGGATATGGTCGATCGTGCTAACCCTCTTCGAAACCCTGCTTGCGCGCATGGGCTGTCCTTCATCTAATATTCTGCCGATCCTGTTAAGGATGAACTCGAGTGAATAGCTTGTAGCATTACAGACAGCAGGCAGATTGGGCGATAGGCTTGCCAATGTCGTCCAGGTCTCCTCTTGTACAGCAACACGGTCCTGCTGGTTTTCCACGGAGTGGGTACCTTGCATTCCGACAGGTAGCGCCGTGAAGAGTCGAGCCAGAGTTTTGATGATGACTGGCGGGCGCATTCTTCAGATGTTCCGGTTTTGACACCTGTCGAGACCGGGTGCTGTGACGATTCTTCACCGACTTGATGGCGTGTCGGACTTCGGAAGAGAGAACTGAGGGGACGACGTATCCATCCTGTTGCAGTTGATAAGTGGGCAGATGGACATTGCTATCGAAGAGATCCGAGTAGAAGTCGTGGATGATTTCTCCATTGCCCTTCGGGATGCAGTGACTGTTCCATCCGGACGTCGGAGGCAGGTCATCTTGTCTTGTAGCTGGCAAAGCTTCGGCGGGCATTGCGGATGCCGCTCCCAGCCTCTGCTGCTTCAGCTAATACTGCTGCTCTTCGCTCCTTGAGCATCTTCCTTTTATCGCCTCTCTGCATAGCTTCGCAAGCTCGCGACGTGAGTCCTGGTGATTGCCTGCAGCTCGTGCGGCTCCACGCTGGCATATCAGTTCGAGAGTGTTCCGTAGACAGACGTCCCTTTGGTGCTTTCAAACTCTCTGCCTTTGCTGCACAATCGTGAAGATGTTCAACGAGCCGATAGTCTCCTCGTCGATGGTTTTCGATGACGGAATCCTCCCATTAAGCTGACGAGGGAAGCGAAGGTGATCCAGTTGATGACTGTCCTGGGGCTTCGCTTCCTGAACTTCGAGGCGGCTCTCAAACACGCATCGAAAGTGGAACTTTGCGCGAGAGACGATGGGTCTGATCCCGTGTAGAACTTCGGAACAACAGCGACGTCGCCGTCAGGCAAAAACCTTCGATTTGAAGATGACGTGGTCTATCTCGTTAGGAACCGTCCATCAGGTGACTCCCAGTCCAACGAAGGTGAGGGGGCTTTGAACTGTGACTTACCATGGATGGTGTTGGTCGACATGATAAACTCGGCAGTGCTCACGCGTGCTCATTCATTCCATTCCGTGAGTACCGATGTTGAAGTTCTTCAGCCGTTCTTCTTGGGCCAATCTTAGCGTTGAAGTCGCCGACGATGACCTTAAAGAAGGTATGATCTTCCCTGTAGAACTTCTCCAATTCCATATAGAACTGCTTCGTGTTCTTCTTCGTCGTAGCTGATGTTGGTTGCGTAGGCGACGAAGATTGTCAAAGCAGGAGTGAACCACATCTTCTCAATCCAAACGTCCGATTCGGTTGTAAGGCTTCGTACGAATCGATGTTTATGGCCAAGTGGGGTGGACGAGGACACCCACACCACCAACGGCTCTGCTGTTGCATGTTCCAAGGAACAGTTCTTCTCCAGTATCAAAACGGCGTGTAGCGGGCTCGTCGTCTCGGTCAGTCGATGACGTCGTACTTGATCTTCCTGGCCTGCATCTATCAAGATTTCGGATGTGAGCTTCGGATGCAAGCGTTCGTGCGTTGAAAGTACAGATCGCATCTTAGTCCTTCTTCGTTTAGGCAGCCTATCCGCGGCCCTGAGATTCTAAGCAGCCTCTCCGAGCGGTCCTACCAACGCTGCGTATTCGGGCTCCTCAGGTTCAGGGAATGAGGCCCATCATATTGCTGTTTCGGCATATTGAAAGACACACGAGTAGCTTGCAGGCTCTGTCCTGCGGGCTAGGATAGACTTTCAGGTAGTTAGCACGCTATCCTGGAGCGGAACAAGGCGACTTATTTCTTGGAGGCGGCCCCGAATCGCTCCCATGTACTTCCCAGTCACTTGAATGCAAGCTTTGGCTGTGCCGACATGCAGCGATACCAACCGCACACACACAGAGCGCACCACAACGCAAGCA